GTGTGTGTGTGTGTGTGTGTGTGTGTGTGTGTGTGTGTGTCTGGGGTTGGAATTTGGAAGACTGTGACGAGTGTGTGTTTGCTCATTATTAGTTACCATCTGGGTTGGGGAAAAAGAACGATCTGTCGTCCTCTTCCTCATCCATCTTCATGTATTTGTAGAAACCAAACCTGGCAAACATAAAAAAAAAAAGAAAAACACACACACAGCCACACAAYTTAAGTGAAGGTTAATGTTTCAAAGTGGTGTAATTCCCTAGTAAGAGCTCAAATAAGTCATGAACATCAAATAAAATAAAAATAAAAAACACTTTTTCGACACAAACGGTGCACACATAAACAAGACAGAGACAAATGTTACTGTGCCTTAAAAACAACGACAGCTTACTTTTCCAAGTAGATGGGGGACTCTCTGTAGAAACATTTATTTTCCCGTTCCATGTGGGTGAGACGTGTGAAGTCGTTAGGGTAGACGAACGATAAGTAGACCTGAAGAAATAGTTGTGGCTAAGTTATTATACCCAAGAAATTCATACACTTTATGTACAGTAAACACTCATAGATCGAGTTTACTGTCCACTGCAATCACTGCACCACTTTTAAATTAAAACCATTGTTCAACTGCAGCACTTTTAAAGCAATACTCATTCAGTTGAATATATAAGCACCACTCTTTTCCCAAAGCATCGTAGCTCATCTGTGAAGCTTGCAGTAACACACACTGACCTAAAGGGGGCAGCAGTAATTAACACTTGCAACCTTTCTGTTTTTACACAAAGAGAGGGATGCTGTGTTGACGTCAAAATCAGCATAAGCTCGGCTCATCTGTTTCGCTTTTCTCTTTCTCTCTGTCTACTTCACTGAATATTTCTGGAAATTTTTTTCCCCAAGCACTTTAAAATGGCCAAACATGCAGGCTTTTGTAATAATCACAGCAATCCCGTCCTAAGTAGTTAAAACCAATGCAGATGTCGTTCATTTGTGACTCACAAACTGCAGGCCCTGGTATCTGGCGATGGGGAAGTCTTTGACTACGTAGGTCGGTGAGTAAAGACARGCCGGGAGAACGTTCTCCAAGCGGAAGGAGTCAATCATCGGGGCTGAAGAAAGTGGCAGAGAAAATTCAACAGCTTTAGCAATAAAATAAATAAAATAAAATGTAAATGAAAATCTGTTTAACTGCACATGTGTGGAAAAACTGACCAAAACCTATAAAAGATGATGGAGGGAAGCATAAAATGGAACACAGTACGACTGATTAAACTATTAAGCACCTGAATACAGTTAATTGACAGCTGCTGTGAGGCGAACAGTTAAATGGGCAGTTAATGGAGGAAACAACATGCCAACGAAAATCAGAATAAGGWGGACSAAAAAGAGCAACAGGAAGCCCTACTGCTATAGAAGGTGTCCCTGGGATCCGGCCTCAACATGTCGGCTCCGTGTTGCATGAYGGCGCCTCCCTCTGGCCCCTGAGGCCAAGACGCTCCAGAGAGACGGATGTGACTGGCCAGGGTCTGGGGGATGTGGTCCACAGTGTTCATCTTAAGACTAGACTCATCTGGATAAGGAAAAATATATATTATATTATTATTACTACCAGCAGAAAAAAGTTTGTTTACTCCAAGAAAAATGATTTTAYATTCACGCAATCTTTACCGATAATGACAGGTTTTAAAAAAAAGGAAGTTAACAGAAATTAAAGAGCAGAGCAGTCATAATTACACCAATCAATAGCAGGGAAGGAGGAGAGAGTTTGTGTGATTAATGGCATGTCAGGAGCAAAGCCTGATGGGAGAAATGCTTTGTAATTACCAGGGTGGTCAGTGGCATTTTTATCCTCAAGAGGCTAGAGTAAATGTACAGAACGAGCCTTTTTAAACTTCCTTTTCTGACAACAAAGTATCGGTTGATCCCATTCCTGATTTCCACAGCCTTCCCTACAAACTGACTCATCTGTGTTCCTCACATCCAGAGGTGAGTAACTAGTTACATTTACTCAGTTACATTTACTTGAGTAATGGTTTTGGGGAAAAAAATAACATTTTGCTGTAGCTTTACTACACCATACATTTTACTTTACATGAGTAATATTATTATGATTTATCACGACTCTTACTTGAGTCCAACTTCGTGCACACTACCCACCAACAAAAGCAAAAACTAACAATTTAAACATTGACTCATTTGTTTGGTAAATTAGCATAAGAATCTGAATTCTAAGGCTGTAAAGTATATCAGTTTAAAACTTATCATCGTGATAACAGCCTGTGAAATAGGCATATCTCCAAAAACTGCATAAACTACAGTAAATGGTTGGCTCAAATGTTTGCATTTATGCGTTTTGTCAATCACACGGAAGCTTGGAGTATTTGACCAATCAAATGGAGCTTATCGCATATTTGGCCAATTGGATGGATCTCTTATGTTAGAAGCCCGCCCCCTATGTGGACGCTTAGTGAGAATCACAAAGGTTGAGAGAGAGACAAGTGAGGAAAATGTTAGCGGCAAACAACTTGTGGTTTTAAAAATAACTATTTGTTATTATTTGGAGATATTTTTAATAATTTATTTTAAAAATATTAGTAAGGGGCGCTTTTCAGTTTAGAGCATCAGAAAATATTTTTGTTAGAGAAGTTTTAAAGCCATGAAGAAACTGCATGCCRTTTGTTGTTTCACTGCGACTACAGCAACTGTGTCTAGTTGCATTTTTTAAATAAAACTGTCATGTTGGAATAGATATTATGTATCAGTTGTCTTTTTTTAAATTCATCAACACGTCATACTTAAGTGTTTGTTCATTTATTGCAAGTCATATCATCATTGCAATACGACGCACTGTTATCACACATCACGTTTCCCTAATGTCGTGCAGCCCTACTAAATTCTTTTCAAATTTGTTTCCATTCCAATGTGTCCATCATGAAAACATTAAACATTAATACATTGCACGAAAGAATGAAGAACTCATAAAACATGAAAAAAAAAACCCACTGAAGCACACATAGAACATATTGTCTCTAACTTAAGCCCAATACTGTTCGTTTTCAATGCAGCCGCTTTAAAACCACTGTCTTAATAATTAAACAGAGAACAAGTTTCCCTGAGAATAGTCTATAAATGTTCTTCTCAAACATCAAATGCTTTCCAGAGTGAGGACACAGAGAGTGAGCAGCAGGGTGTGACACACGAAGGAGGGGGGGTGTTGGGGAGAGTATGGGTTGTGGGAAGATGATGAGATGGTAATGCCTGAATCCAGCGAGTGACCTCATTGAGTGTACGAGGCCTCGTTCGTCTCTGTCACAGCTTGTCATAAACAAGACGGCAGGACTTGGAAAACATCCAAACAACACTGCAGCTTTGCTCAAGATGACAACTCCACACATCTTTCTATTTTTTTTWATTTATTTTTTTGGAGCAGCTGGAAGTCTCTCCTGTGTATAGTTACCGACTCCTTGTGACACATTCCTGTTCTTGGCGTTACCGGGGTTAAGCATCTACTCAGGAAGCCTATTCTTTACAAATACCATCTAGATAAAAAGAAACTAAAACTGCCTTTTACACCACATAGAGAAAAATGGATGTGTTTTTTTGAAAATCTGCAACTATCCAAATGAAAAAAAATAATAAAATAGAGGTAAATTATAATGTTCGTCATTAATTCTTACAAAGTTAATGTACTGTGGGGGTTCTGTTAACTTGAATCCAAACATAAAAATACACTAGACTTAAGTAAAATGAATAAATAATAGATTTTTTTTATTTAGTTGGTTTATTATGAACTTGTTTACATAACAGACAATCATTTTAAGCGAAGAGAGAAACAAAAAAGAAAGAACCTACAAGAAAAAATTTAAATTACAATATTCTGTCCAGCAGTTCATGAGATATTTTGCGACTCTACAAACACCTACACATAAACGCAGGCAAAAACATTATGCTTCACCTTAGTAAGTGGGTGATTATTTACAGTAGTTTCCACAACATTTGTCAAAAAATAAAAATAAAAATAAAAATAAAAGCACCTTTCTTGAATTGAAACAAATAGCTCCTACCTGTGTATAAGGAGATGTAGGCCGAGTCTATCACCTCATATTTCAAACCAGGGAGGAACGGACGCCACTGTGTGAGACAGAACACAGACTGAGCGAGGAGGGAAAACCAAATGCCAACATGTGAAACATAAAAAGGTAAGCAAGAGTCATCCGTCCCTCATTTCAGGCTAAACTGTGACATTTTCTGTTATTGAGCTGAGCCACATCACAGGATCGATCTGGTGCCGGCTTTTTGTACAAACACACTTAATCTGGAAGAGCAGAAGAATCAGAATTGTTCATGTTGCTCCCAGACAGAGAGCAAGAAATGTGATGCCTTAAAGGCCAGGAAGGGAAGAAAAAAAATGAGTAAAAATAAAACGGGCAAAACAGGCTGTGAGGAAAACAAGAACACGGTCGCATGAATGAGACGACGAAGAGTAGGTGCGGAGGAGGAGAATCGACTAATGACCTGAAAACAGAGAAGCACCAGGAGAGGAAGGAAGGAAGACGGAGAAAGACAGACGAGACAAATTCTTTTAAATAGATTTCACAATTACCTCGTCACTTCTACTTAGTCAGGATATAATCATAGGAGACAGGTCATTTTCCAACCCTTCGTTTGAGAATACAAATATAAACACCCACCTCAGGCCTTCCAAACGCACCCATATGTGTGTATCCATAACAAAACCACACTCCAATTAWGTTGTAGTGACATATCATAAAAGTGGTAATGATTAGAACTCAAACCAATGAGAAGCATCCACTTGTTTTTCTACTTAAATATCCAGACAATAAAATCTAATATGACAATGTTCTAAAACTAGATCAATTAAAGTTCATGAGCCCTCGAAATAAAKGCAGCAAATTCTGAATATTTAAAGTTTATTTAAGTCCATTTAGTTTTTGTTTTTTTTCCACCGGGATCTGGCACCATTTAGGAAGCTTTTTGTGATAAACCTGCTGCCTGGTGAAAATAAAGAAATATAAAGACCTTAGGTCAGCAGAATTAGCAGCAGCACATTTTTCTGTCCCTGTAGCCTGCGTCACAGGGTTTAAACTTTAATTCATCCAAACCATGAAGCTAAATGTTTCACGAGAAAGTAAATAATTACTGACAAATTCAAAGGGTGGTTTTGCTTAATGCAATCAGGCTCTAGTCTGAACCTTGATTTGTTCATTGTTGTGTCGTGATGTTTTTTTTTTTTTACTGTGCTTAAGACCATTTTCCTGGGACACAACCCATTTTGTGCCAAAAGTTCACTTTTCAGACAGATGATCCTCACATTTGATTACTGAATAGCTGGGTAAAGAAAAGTCCATGGATGAAATAAGGAGTCCTTTTCAGTGTCATTGAGGTATTTGTACTGATGTGTGGCCAAACATCTCCAATTTGATGTTGTTTGTTGAAAGAACCTTGTCCTGGAAGACGCAACTTTGTAGCCTAATTTGTGCTGCCATCTTCTTCCTGAGGAGCAAAGGTTTTTTTTTTCTGGCTTTAGAACTAAACAAGCAACACTTGATCAGTTTTCTAATAGAATTTCCATAAACATTAGTATTTCACATAATAACTGAAGCCTGAAGTTTGACATTTTTGTTGCAAATAATTCTCTTTTGACTAAGCATTTGCTTACTTTAAAGACGATTACACCTAAATCAAATCATATATTTGATTTAACTACAATCATCTAACTTTTTTGGCTTAGTTGTTGTTCCGTACATAATAATGTAGAATATGTCACATGCTATAGTTCATTTAATTCTTTCACTTTAAAACCTGATGAGTCACAAACAAGATTTTTGTTTCAACCTGATAGCAGAACTAGAATAGGATATACAGTATCTAGTTGTTACCATGACTGCGATTACAGAACGGACCAGTGGTTTGTGCCTTTGTTGAGGCACTGACATAAAAGGTGCACATACTGTTCCCACAAAAGGGCACAAACAAAAGAACATCAAAGGAGGACACATGCGTAACGTCCTGCTGAGCATCAGCGGGGAGGAGCGCAGCAGGGCACCAAAGACTTCACCATTCTGCCATTATTTCACTGGGATTGTCGTCAAAGGCAAGCTGTCACAGTTTGGGTCAAGTGAGGACAAAAAAAAAGTCAAGGCTACAAATGAGTTGCAAAAGATTTTCACCTGACACACACACACAAACAAACACACACACACACAAAAAGGCAATTCAAGAGCAGCGTAGTGTTTACAGCGACAGTGCACAAGCAGAAACAACAAAAGGGAATTTTGGTGACATTCATCATATTAATAAAACAGTGCAGTGCCTGGTGTGAGATGTCACAACGACTTTGTGAAAAACTGGAGACAGAAGTGTGAAATTTCAGGAAAAGACAAGAAGAAAGGCATGTGTATTAAGTATGAACATAGGTGGTAAAACAAATAAAACAAAAGAAAACATGACAATATCAGCTTACAGGAGCAAAACATCATATAGCCGAGTACTTACAGTATGTGGAATTATACATAGCAATTACAGTGTTTTACAGGGTAAGATACTGGGTACACACACAGGGTAGGGTAATGTGCTACATACGTACAAGGTAATGTATAAGGTACTTATGGTGCAGAATACAGGGTACTTATTTTGTAATATACAGGGTATCTATGGTGTAATGTGCTTTGTATATTACCCTTTGTGTACCCAGTATGTTACACTGTAAATACCAAGTACATTACACCATTAATACCCTGTATATTACAAAATAAGCATCCTGTATTCTGCACCATAAGTACCTTATACATTACCTTGTACATATGTAGCACGTTACCCTGTATATTACCCTTTGTGTACCCAGTATATTACACTGCAAATACCGAGTACATAAAGGGTAACATGCTAGATGTGTACAAGGTAATATACAGTACAAGGTACTTATTGTGTAATATACCGGGTACGTTTGTTGTAATACACATGGTATGTATGGTGTAATGTAGTATTAGAAGGGTAACATGCTAGATTTGTACAAGGTAATATACAGGGTACTTATAATTTAATATACAAGGTACTTATGGGTTAACATACAGGGTACTTACAAGGTAACATACAAGGTACACACAGGGTACTTAAAGGGTAACATGCTAGATACGTACAAGGTAATATACATGGTACTTATGGTGTAATGTACTAGGTATTTACAGGGTAAAATATGGGGTACACGGGGTAATATACAAGGTATATGGTGTAACATACAGGGTACTTATAGGTTAACACACAGGGTGCTTAAGGAGTAACATGGTAGACACGTACAAGGTAATATACATGGTACTTATGGTGTAATATACAGGGTACTTTTGTTGTAATACACATGGTATATATTGTGTAATGTAGTATTAGATGGGTAACATGCTAGATTTGTACAAGGTAACATACAGGGTACTTATAATGTAATATACAAGGTACGTATGGGTTAACATACAGGGTACTTACAAGGTAACATATAAGGTACACACAGAGTACTTACAAGTTAACATGCTAGACACGTACAAGGTAATATACATGGTGCTTATGGTGTAATGTACTAGGTATTTACAGGGTAAAATACGGGGTACACAGGGTAATATACAAGGTATATGGTGTAACATACAGGGTACTTATAGGTTAACATACAGGGTGCTTACAGGATACTATAAAGAGTAATGATGGGGTATCTACTGGGTAATATTCAAGGTTCTTATGGGTTAACAAATGGTAATCATAGCACGAGTACAAGGTACTTACAGAATAACATACAGAATCAAAACTACATAAATATTTGTCCACTATTAGACTTTATGAAACAAACATTGCATTAGTTATTCTATGGTCCATATTTATAAAAAATACTAGTTAGTATGGAGACAAACTCTTATTCTGCTAAAGCTGTCATGACAGCCCAGTGTGCAGGAGCATCCTCTGTAAGTTAATGTTAATGTGAAGCAGCAGGAAGGAACAGAGGCCAGCTCAGTGGCCCCAACAGATCAACAGAGAGGAAAGGAAATCAATAAGAAAGGGAAAATAATAAAAAGCACCAAATGCAGAACAAAATGACTCCTTGCAGCCAGCAGGCTTGTCTCATCCCTGGATCACTAGCACTGATATGAAGGTTATTACTGTTCAGCTCACCAATGCATTTATGCATGGTGCTTGGTGACGATCTCTGCAGAATCCCACATTTTCTTTCCATCTAACTCACATGCACACCATCAGATTTATATTCCTCACTGATCAGGACTTTACTGCATCTGTAAGAGCTGACTGTTTCCTTTGGTTCAGTTGATGGCTCTAAAGCCCGAGGTGCTGCAGATATGAAGCTGCTCCTAAAGTGACACACAGGAAGTAATGACATAATGGAGCCGCGACCTTTCCAGGTTTACAGAAGAATCACTTCAGATGTAAGGCCAAATACAATTAACAGACAGAAAATGTGCGACAAAATGAAACCAGATACATTGAAGACCTTCTGCTTGACAAACAAACTGAAACAAGAGTTGCCTTGTTCTCATTGGGCTTTTAGAAATTATACGAAAACATGACAAATGGTTCACAATTTAAAAAGCACAAAGTATTTATCATTAATCACAATGTTTAGGCAAATTCAATAAAATAATCAGGGTTGTTAAAGTGAAACTGTGAAAAAAGGGTTCAGATTAAATCTGTATAAATTACAGAGCTTGTTAGCTTCAGTCTGTAGTTAAAAAAAAACACAAAATCAAATCTATTTTGTGTTTAACTCCTTAGTGGAGAGAAGAAAACATTCAGCACGACTGTGAAAGGTGGAATCCACTCTTCTCATTAGAAATAAATCCTACTCCTGTGATAATGTGCATCATTTCCAGATAAACCCTCGCTGGTCAACAGTTCAGCCGTAGCAACAGTGACTTCACAGAGCGTGGCATGCTGCTAACAAGCCCAGACGTACGCTTTAGTAACTGTGGTGCAAAATGGCAGCTAACGAGCTAATAAGAAAACAATTAGTACGGTTAGAGGGTTTATTTTTAACACTGTTYGGTTTAGAAGAAACTGACACTTTTTATTCTGCTGTCATAAACTCAGTAACAAGCAACAAATAAACAGCTGCTTTC